TCCTGAGGCCAGCAAGAAGGTCCTGCAGGGACTGGCAGACCAGGTAAACAAGGAGACTGGAAAGAGTATGAGCGTCGACGAGGTGGCGTACGGATTCTTGACCGTTGCGAATGAGACTATGACGAGACCCATCAGGTCCATTACGGAAGCCAAGGGCCACGATTCTTCCAAGCACCGCTTGGCGACATTTGGTGGTGCCGGCGGACAGCACGCTGTTGCCATTGCCGAGGCTCTCGGTATTCAGCAAATTCTCATCCATAGGTACTCTTCTGTACTATCAGCCTACGGCATGGCACTTGCGGACGTCGTGGACGAGCGCCAGGAGCCCGATTCCAAGGTCTGGGAGTACCCCGGCAAGGCAGTGGACGAGCTGAAGAGCAAGATGGAGAAGCTCAAGGACAAGTCCCGCAAGGCATTGCGCGACCAGGGCTTCGATGAGAAGGAAATCGTGTTTGAGGAGTACCTCAACATGAGGTACAGGGGTACCGAGTCGGCGTTGATGATCATCAGGCCCGATCAGGACGAGCAGAAGGACGCAAAGGAATGGGACTATGGCACGGCCTTTATTCAGCAGCACCGTTACGAGTTTGGGTTCACCCTCGACGATCGAGATATTATTGTCGATGACGTGCGCGTTCGCGGTATTGGAAAGAGCTTTAGGCATGCGGAGAAGACGGTGGACCAACAGCTCAAGGAGTTGAAGCGCACAGATGTGGAGCAGAGCAAGGCGCATAACCGACAGCAGGTGTATTTCGAGGAAGGCCGACTCGATACCCCGGTGTACAAGCTTGAGGACTTGGGCACCGGCGAGACTATTAAGGGACCTGCCATGCTCGCTGATGGTACGCAGACCATCGTGGTTACGCCAAAAGCTACTGCGCTGGTTCTTGATACCCACGTCGTGATTGACATTGAGAAGGAAGGATCTAAAGAAGATGAGTGTGTAAGATCAAGACTGATTCGAAAGCATGAAGCTGACCTGTGATTATAGGGCGTCAAAGAACCAAGGCGAACGAGAAGTCGACCCGATTATGCTGAGCATTTTCGGTCATCGATTCATGGCTATTGCAGAACAAATGGGCAGAGCACTCCAGAAAACCAGTGTCAGCACCAACGTCAAGGAGAGACTCGATTTCTCCTGCGCCATCTTTGACGCGACGGGCGGTCTCGTAGCTAACGCGCCCCATCTTCCCGTTCATCTGGGCTCAATGTCCACCTGCGTCAAGCGGCAAGCCGAAATCTGGAAAGGTGATTTAAAGAAGGGCGACGTCATCATTTCCAATCATCCTTCCTACGGAGGCACCCATTTGCCGGACATCACCCTCGTGATGCCGGCTTTCAACGACAAGGGCGACAAGATCCTCTTCTATGCCGCGTCAAGAGCGCATCATGCGGATATCGGAGGTATCACGGCTGGTAGTATGCCCCCTCACTCAAAGGAGCTGTTTCAGGAGGGCGCTGCAATCAAGAGCGAGAAGCTTGTTAGCGAAGGACGTTTCGATGAAAAGAGAGTGACGGAGTTGTTGTATAACGAGCCTGCCCAATACCCCGGATGCAGCGGAACCCGCTGCCTAGCCGATAACATCAATGACCTGAGAGCCCAGGTCTCGGCGAATCAGAAAGGTATCGCGCTGATTGAGGGCCTAATTGCAGAGTACGGCGAGGAGACTGTGCAGTTCTACATGGTTCACATCCAGAACAACGCTGAGCTGTGCGTCCGCACCCTACTGAAGGAAGTCAGTAAGCGATTCGAAGGTAAAGACCTGCAGGCGGTGGACTTCATGGACGATGGCAGCCCGATTCGTCTCAAGGTCACTATCGACGCCGACAAGGGCGAGGCGGTGTTTGATTTTGAGGGCACCGGACCCGAAGTCTACGGCAACGTCAACGCCCCCGAGGCCGTGACGTACAGCGCGATCATCTACTGCCTTCGGTGTCTCATTTCGGAGGACATACCACTGAACCAGGGATGCCTAAAGCCCATCAACGTCAAGATTCCGCCTAAATCGCTTTTGTCACCATCAGACGGCGCGGCGGTTGTAGGCGGCAACGTCCTGACGAGCCAGCGCGTGACGGACGTCATCTTCAAAGCCTTCCAGGCGTGTGCGGCGAGTCAGGGCGACTGCAATAACCTTACGTTCGGGTTCGGCGGCAACGTGACGGGGCAGAAGGAGGTGAAGGGGTTCGGGTACTACGAGACGATTGCGGGCGGCAGCGGCGCGGGACCGACCTGGGAGGGTACGAGTGGTGTGCACACGCACATGACGAATACCCGTATTACCGACTCGGAAGTATTTGAGAGGCGGTATCCTGTGATCTTGAGGGAATTTTCATTGAGGAAGGGGTCTGGTGGTGACGGGCAGCATCGGGGCGGTGATGGCGTCGTGAGGGATATTGAGTTCCGGATTCCTGTGCAGGTGTCGATTCTGAGCGAGAGGCGGGTGTATAGACCGTATGGGCTCGCTGGTGGCGAAGACGCTGAGGCTGGATTGAATGTGTGGGTGAGGAAAGTTGAGAAGGGGAGCTGGGAGAAGTCGTTGAAGAGGTTGAAGGGTGCTGCTGGGGAGGCCAAGGGAGACGAGGAGGTGGAGTATGAGGAGCGGAGGTTTAATCTCGGAGCGAAGAATAGCGCGCCTATGAAGCCTGGGGAGAGGATTATCATCAACACGCCTGGTGGTGGCGGTTGGGGTAAGGTTGGGGCTGAGAAGGGGGTTAGTAATAAGAGAGATCCGACGGATGGATGGAGGAAGGGAAGTCATGCGAATAGGGAGGATACTGCTCTGCAGGTCTAGGAGGGGCTTCGATGGGAATCTCTTAGGGTCGTTTCGAAGTGAGCTCGTTTGTGCGTAGGTAGGAAAGCCCCAGTCACATTGACCTTGCCGAATGGCTCGGCCTACGTATAAAATGGGGATGGTTGTGTGAATCTTGGTCGCTTTATCCGCAATCAACTTCGTCAGTGTCGGTGTCTAGATTTTGAAGTACGCTATGGTCTTCGACTTTGCAAAGATCACGTCCCTTTGCTGTCCATCATGTTTACACGTCGGTTGGTATTGCCATTATACCTATTAGGTAAGGGACATCTCCGTAGACCTTTATCTGTCCAGAGCGAGATATTCAATGTGGAATAAGAAAAGAAAGCCGAGGGCCTGTGATGTTTTGATTGGAGTTGAGTTTGCTGAGTTAGGTTGTTTCGAGGTAGAATGAGGTAGCCGCTTCGCGCTTATCGGCAGGTCTCGAGGCACTCACTCACACCATGATTACTCTTAGATGTACTTCCAACGCGTCCAAGTGTGCCCGCTGTTAACAAGGAATCCAGAATACCATTGGACTTTTATATCATTACGAGACAAATATTTACTCGGAAGAGTTGAGATATGCGAGCCCTAATTACTCGCCTTACGGAACAGTAAGCATCAAGAACATGGTCACAGGTTGTATGTTCAGCAATCCCTTCTGTATTCCTACTCTATCATACTGAGAAGAATATCTCCTAGGGACTACCGACTACTTGTAGTAGTAATGATCCTCCACTCCATCTCTCACGCCCATCGAGGAGTCTCAAGCCTCCATCGCGATTGTGGCAGTAGGCATCTGAGCCTCAGCCGTCGGAGTCGCGGCGGTCTCGAACAGACTCGTCTGAGTCTGAATAGCGGAGTCCGCCTTGCTTTCAGCAGTGGGCGTAGGCTCGACTCGCTCCTCTATGCTGGGGTTGGCGGTCTGCAGCGGCAGGGAAGGAGGTTCAGCTTGTTTGATGCTCTCCTTTGCGGCCTCGTCGAGCATGAGGGGCTCGGAACCTTGCCCATTCTTGTCTTCCACGACGTGGGAGTTGTCCACCTTGTCGGCTCTGTCACCTGTGCGGCGGTTGGCGAAGGATGTGGAGTCTCCGAGCTCGCGGCTCTCAATGAGCTTGAGGGCCGGGAGGGCCCAGTTCCAGGCCACGGCCTCGTCGGTCGGGATAGCCTTGGCTGCGGTGTCGTGGGTGAGAGTGAGTGTGGGTGCAGCGATGGCGGAGCTGCTGGGTGCTGGAGTGACCAGGGTGCTGAAGGTGTTACTTATGGTTGGGACAACCAGAGCCGGGGTTTCAATGGAAGGGGGAGCAGAAATGTTCTCCTCTTCTTTGATGTTGGGACCGTCTTCCTTGCCCTTGATGTTCGAATTCATGAGGTCGAGGGCGGTTGCTGCCCAGTCCCAGTTCATTGCCTCAGATGGGACGTTGTCCGAAGAAGAGGGTGCAGCAACGGCGATTGTAGAGGAGCTGCTGACGACTGAACTGATAGTAGGAGTGGGGGTAATGCCAGTAGTGGTGGGAATAGCCCCGACTGGGATAGCGATGGCTGAGGTTGTGGCAGCAAGGGCCAGGGTGAGGAAGTAGAGAGTGGAAGTCTGAGAAGGCATCTTGAAGACTTTGGTTGGTTGGTTGTTTGTTTGCAGTTGGATATGTAAGTCGATGAGTTGTGGTAGCGTGTAAGTGAGAGATGATCGATCAACTTGAGGAAGATGTGTGATGTAATGGGTTGGGAGACTGATGAGATTCTGATCCTGGAAGAGAATCGGCCTCGTTAATATAGCTTTCTGGAAGACAATTTTCGGAGAAAGCTTTGAAGAAACCCCAGAGTCACGAGAAGGTCCGCAAAATACTAGCCATCATGGTGTTTTCACGGAAGTTTATCATTCAAATCCCAGGAATGGATTCAAGGTTGCGGACGATGGTTGCGGATGCCAGGGCAAGGTTCAGATACCTTGCCGGTAGGCCAAAATGGTTCAGCCACCTCAGAGCCGTTACAGGACGGTGAATTCCATCGTGATTACATCGTGCAAACATCTTGAAGCCCGAGCATGAGTTCCCTAGGGGCCAGCTAAGTACGAGCACGTCGACGCATTCGCCAAAGGCAACCATCTCGAAAACTTTGAATCGTTAAAGATTGCATCACATCGAAGCTTAATTAAGTCCTGTAGCATTCATGTCCAACCCGGCCGCTATGCTCCCAGCCCTACGCACCTCATCTGGGCAACTCAGTGTTGGTTCTAGGTGGCAACGGTTTGCGCTTAACCCCTCCCGAAAATGACCTCGTCTCCGCCCCGGCCGGTCTCCGATCTTCATTACCATCCCCAATACTACTTAATCTGATGTAGTTACTTTGATTCACCAAGTTTCTCGAAGAATCAGACTGTCCTTGTGCTCCGGAAAGTGTCGATGGCGGTTTCTCTTTGTTGAGTACAACCTTGTACTGATCGTCTATCCGCTTGCCAACGCCGAGCTCGATGCCGACTAGGAGAATCAAAAGGTCAATCATTGTGCCAAAATCATAATTTTCATATCGCAATATGTGAGAGTCGGACTTACAAATGTTATAGTAGATGTACTTGGATAGCACCGGTGCCCAGACCAGAACCGCCACAACCTGACCAAAAGTCCACTGTTCTTTACTACCTACTGCGTCTCCAGCAAAGCGATTCACTTGAACAATGTTGAGTAGCACTGTATAAGCTATCACAGTAACCAAGATGAACCACAGAATCTTTCCCAAGAAAGAGAATGTTTTGATAACCCAAGCTGGTATTCGAATCTCACGCCCTCTCCGAGCGTGGTATGTCGAGGCTATCATCTTGCTAAGACGAGGATCATGGCTCAGATGGTCCATCGTCAAAAAGAGCATGACTGACGTATAGATGGAAAATTGAACTATTGGTATTACAGGGCTTACTCCATAAACGTAGCTGCTGTATACGTTATTGCCATATTCAGCCTGCGTGCAAGTTTGCAGAATGCTGTGCCTCCCGCCGCAGGCCTCGTACTCAGGGGACGGATCCGAAACGAGCTTTGGCGTCGGAAGATTGAGCATCTGTATGATGGAACACAGGACATAGACTATGACTGTTAGAACGAACGTATACCACCAGTACATGCCTCTGCGTTGCATGATGGCTTGCGTGACAAGAACCAGCAGCGTGTTGGCACTCGCAAAGACTTTGGCAGCACCGACGTCGACTCGGATGGCGAGAGACTGTTTGTTCATGATGACCATGGTTAAGGTCGCCGCCTCAATAGCCATAACGAAAAATGCCTGTGTTTCTTGGAACTCGACCATGGTTGAACGCAAGGCCACGCAGAAACGAGTCGAGCGCAGGTGCGCGAAGGTCGAGCGCAGTCTGTCCATCTCGGTCTCTGAGCGCTTTCGAAAAAGCCTCAAGCACCACCTGAAAGCAAGCAACATGCCGAAAAAGGTGGAGGAGTCAGGCTGATGAGGGAGTAGGCCGCAGAAGATGAAGAACCAAATGCTCAATGCGACCTGTATGTAATAGGACACAGCAATCTACCACGTCATCAGCCACAGGGTTTCCCATCTCTCGTATCAAGTTTGGACTTACACCAGGACCAGCAATGTCGGCTTGCGGCCCATTTGAGAATACGGAACACAAGTCCTGGAGGGAATTCAAGACCTCATCCATTTCACCAGCTCTGACTTGGCCCCGTGTTAGCTTCGCGACGCCGGGATCGCACTCTCCCAGAGGATTTCCTCCGGCGCAGGAAATTTCGATACAACCAAGAATCTGCTCAAAGACTTTTGTGGCATTAAAAGCCATCAAAGAGTCCAAATTTATCTTTGATATCGTTTCATTGACGCTGTAGTCGGTGTCAATTTTCTCACTTTGCACGAGAAATGCCGAGGTCGCGATGGCGGCGCATCCGTATAAGTTTGCAGTGGAAGGCCTTCGTCCCGTACTGGAGTAATCGAACAGAACCTTCGTGTCGTAACAATCTTTCTGGGCATCGAAGTTGTCTGATGAGTGGTTCCATCGTCCTGGTAGATTGACAGTGATTATGGGGTACTCCGGATTCTTTGCTGCTCTATAGATAGAGGACACATATCCGGCCCAATCCGGACCGTCAGAGTAGTAACCCCTACTAGACGTACCAGAGTTGGAATAGCCAACCACAGAGTGATAGTAACCAGTGCCAGAGTCTGAATAAGACCATCCCATACTCATAGTATGATTTGTCGCCATGTCGAAGCGATTTCTCGGGATTCGGGTTTCTCTCAGATGCCAGTCAATGGTGCGCAACTTTCCAAAGATTGTAGTGAAAGATCTCAGTTAATTCTTCTTCGACATCGCGGGTTCTGTTGCTTCTGAGTGATGAGCTAGAAGTTGAAAACAAAGTTTTGTGATATCAGGCTGTCCGAACGACGACACTAAATATCAAAAGAGATCCATTCGGGAAGACTGTACCTTCGTCGCGCAGCTGCTACGTTCCTTCCAAGTTCCAGCCCCTCCTTGGCGACACCAATGCCATCAGGCTGCGTGCTTACTTGCATATTGTGTACGTCGCGCAGAACCACAGCCAATTAGCGCGCGAAGGAATATCGTCAAAATCAGGCTGCGGGGGCCAAAAAGCTCCCTTGATCCAATGGGTATGAAGAGAGAATCTCGGCTGTATGCCAGTGACCGGAACGTTTTATTTTTACATACATCTTGTGTCTCACTGTCACTCGAACCCGGCATCGCCCATCTCAGCCTGTTCGGGTGCCGCATAGGCAACAGCAATCTGGGAGTATCGTGGAACACACGACTGCTGAATTCTCCCTGCACACAGTAGAACACTTACTGAGCCGCATGGAACCATTTGACGTCGGCTTCATGACCGGGACACCAGTGTAGTAGGAATGTGTCGATCGTTGTGTGGTACTCTGCCCAGGGCTTCACAGGCTTTCTACAGCGATGCCTTGAGTATGGCGGACTTTGGGGTTGAATCAAGAAAAAAGTATGTCCAATGAGCGACACGCGCTGGGGTTAAAAGGCTGTCAGCCGGTGGAGTGCCTCTCGAGTCTCGAACTGTTTCCTCTATGCCATCATTCTCGGAGTCTTGTCTGTGGCATCCTAGTTATCTCTGTGATTAGCAACGTCCTCGTCATGTTATTCAAGCATCTGATTACATTGTCCCAGACCAAAAGAATCAGGTCTAGCATGAGAACTCACGTGTTACTTTAACTCACAAGAAAGGAAGGAGATGTGTAGCGTGACTGGCCTGGAACCACCTCGGCCAAGTAGCTGTGAGGGCGAAGGAATGGATTCTTAGGACTGGATGCTGGTGAGTGGAATAGTGATAAGACCCCTAAAGTAAGATGGCATTGAAGCAAAGATCTTATGTTGGATTTGACATCAGCCACAACGGCAGAGCCACTGGGTTGACAGGGAAGGTGGTGGATTGAAGACACTTGCGACAGAGGCAGCTGGGAAATGGGCCGCCACTTGATATAAAAGCGTCGAGAAGATTTCGCAGCAAATCTCTTCGTCAACCACCGCAGTGAGAAGATGGCTCACTGAGTGGCAAAGTTTCTCAAGGTATACGTCAGCAGAGGAGCAGGAGATTAAGTTATTCCACTAACTCCGAGATGTCCCTCACTTTAGCGGAGTGAGCACACATCTCGTCAAAAGCTCTCAGCTATATCGCCCTATTCTACACGGAATACCTTTCAACGGACAGATGATAGATATTAAACTCCGGGCTAGTTCGGATGATGTTTGCTATAAGAAACTACTAGGAAGATTCGCCTTCCCATCAAAACCTTCCATTGAAAGCCGAGGCAAAGCACTGGCAAAGGGACAGATTTTGCAATTATAGCAAGTAGGAAGAGAAAGATGTCGGTCATCAGTTACTTAAGAGAGGGAGCTACCAAACCGATCATGATGCCACTGAACCGTTGACTTACTTACCCAGTATTATAAGGCGCTTTCTATTCGGGACTTCGAAGAACAGAACTTAAGAGACAGGGATATCATACTTAAACTTGTCAAGGGGCATGGCGAACCTCAAAGGAATCAGCAAAGCCATTGAGCTGGCCCGCAAATCGGTTTCGATGCGATTCGACCCGCAAGCAAATAGAGCGGACAATCCCAGAGCATACAACCACGATAGATACTCGAGATTATGACTCTTTTTCTGGCAAGACCTCCTAAAAAAACTAGAGATTATTGTCCTAACAACCTAGGAAGGATGTGATTTTAACATGATTTCCCTCGCAGGCAAGTAAGTAGTACCGTCCCCTGGCATCTTGCTCTGAGATGATTTCACAGCGGGGCCGGTCGTCTAGTATAAAACGCCTCCAAAAGATCCTGTAGTAAGCTCCCCAAGCAAGACATGTGTTCTTTCCTTGTATCTCGGAGGGGAGTCATTGATTAACGAAGTGCCCGGAGGTCTACGACCAGACAAGGAACCAAGGAAACCATCTCGCTTCACCTACTCCCAAGACAAACTCTCACTGGCTAGACTCAACCCTAGTTCCTATCAAAACCTCTCCGCTCTTGACCCCTATTCCGTATTGCATATGTCACGCCAGACGGACGATACAAAATACTGATTCTCATTTCCGTCAAGTTATTGGGTATAGTACATTGACATCCGTTCGCTAAAAGGGGGGGCTCCAAGCTAACCTAACATAACCGTACAGAGTCCCCATATCAATCGATCATTGCTCATTCCCTACGACACCGCTCAGCGCGACAGGAAGTGGTTTGTCCGCTATCCAACTCGTGGAACGGAAATGCTTAAATAGGAAAACGGAACTAGAGAAGGAAGAAAGAAAACATCAAACGAGATATTAGTAAATGCGGGCTCGCTTGAATTCATATTCTCAAGCACGCGCCTATCCGATTTACACCGAAGCACGCACCTATACACGGCAACAGAGAGAGCTCTTGATCTACGGACGGCCATACTGGCTGCTTTTCTCCGTCACCATCGATGAGAAGCAGACTTGCAAGTCTCAAACTTCTAGAGGAAGCAGTCTTCAAAGCTGAAAATCGAATGGAATCAAGTCTGGCCAACAACATACAATTCTCGACTTCACAGTAAGCACGGGGAAACAAAACTTCAAGTCAGGGCACACAATTTCCTTGATAATGTACTACAATGCCCTTATTCCTCCCAATGTAACTTCTACAACTGTACTTTTTATTCGGATCCTCCTCCCTATCGCCCTGTCTCTCAGAGCCTCGGCCTCTGCCTCACTCTCCATCAATCCTCACAAATCCGCCCTCCTAGTGAGGATACGCAGTACACATAATCCTCGGCAACCTCGAGAGGAAACGAGTGAAGAAGAAAAACAAAACCAAAATAACAAGAATAGTGTCCCAACGCCGAGCCAAAAGAGCAATGCTATGCCTTACCTTTCTTTTTTGTGTCGCTACGCGAAACACCGACACTCCATCACATGTATGTCTGTTACAGACAAACAAGACATACACTTTCTCTCCGTCTAGTATAAGACTCAGACCAAATAACGGAGAATAAAAAACAAAAACACATGCTATGGCATTCTTCCATGATCCCTTTCAGTTGCGTTTCCATCATTGGCCTCATTTGGCGTTGGTAGACTTGTGGGTCTCCAGGGCGCTTGCCAGCGCCTTGGCAAAGTCCTCCGTCTTGACTTGCACCATCCAGGTCTCGAGGCCGTTGCCCGTCTCGTTCGAGGTCGTGAGCTTGACGTACTTCTTGTCCGCCTTGTATGTCTCAGAAGGCAGAACAGAGCGGTTGAGCACGACGTGCCCGCGAGGCTCCGCGCGCAGCAGCATGCGCACCGCGCCAGTGTTCTTGTGCTTCAGGACACGGAACGGGCCGACACCCTTGGTTGACCAAGGGCTCTTGTTCTTGGGCTTATCGTCGCCGCTGTCCTTGTCTTCTTCGGATCCGGCCGGAATGAACTTCATAATCTTGGCGCGAACGTCGTGGAGTACTTCCTCGTCTTCTTCGCCAGGGCCACCCTCAGTTAGCTTGAGCTGCTCGTGAGGCTTGCCATCAGCATCGTCGCCTTCACCACCAGCGGCCTTGTCGGCTTCCGTAGTCGGCTCGGGAGTGCCAGTGGCAGGAGTCGTAGCTAGGCTGGAGGCACCACCAAAGTTAAAGGGTGAATTAGTGCCAGTGGTAGAGGCACCCGCGGGGGGGTTCAGGTTACCGAACATACCACCAGAGGGAGGCTGGGCAGGCTTGGCACCGCCAAAGAGGTTGCTCGTAGGCGCCGGGGTTGACGCTCCAAAGAGCGGCTTCTGAGACGCAGGTGCCTGAGCACTGGCAGATCCATTAGCGGCACCGAAGGTAAAGGTGGGAGTCGAGGCAGCAGGGGCAGCAGGCTGAGCGGGAGCGCCGCCTCCAAACTGGAAGGGACTGCTGCTTGCCGCCGCAGGTGCAGGCGCGGACGAGCCACCGCCAAACTGGAACGGCGTAGAACTGCTTGAGGGGGCGGAAGATCCGCCGCCACCAAAGTTAAACATGCCGCCGGCCGAAGGCGCGGGAGCAGAACCCGAGCCGCTGCCGTTAGCAGATGCGAAGGGGTTGTTGAAGCTCGTGCCGCCACCGCCGGCGCTGAAGGTGAAGGATGAACCTCCGCCAGAGCCGAAGCTTGGAGGACCGCTAGAGCCGCCGTTTGTCTGAGGCGCAGGCGCAGCGCCTCCGAAGGGGTTAGCTGGGGCTGCACTCTGGGATCCACCAAAGTTGAACATGCCACCAGATGGTGCGGCCGGGGCAGAGGGAGCGGGTGCGTTGAACTGTCTCTTCGCCGGCGGGCCATCCTGCTTCATAGGGCTACCACCGAAGGGAGAACCAGCGGACTCGGTCGGCTTGCTGGCGCCGAAGCTGAAGGCAGGAGCCGCAGTGGGCGCGGGAGCAAACTGCGGGGCCTTGGAACCCTCGTCATTGGGCTTAGCACCGAAAAGGTTGGAGGTGCTCGACGCGGGTGCCGGGGCACCAAAGAGAGGGTTCGACTGGAAAGGAGTCGAAGTGCTCGATGTGCTGGCGCCGAAGAGGGGCTTAGCCGGTTCGGGAGCGGGAGTCTCCTGAGGCTTGCTGCCGCCAAAGAGTGTCGATGACTGCATGACGGAGCCCGCAGGCTTGTCTTGGGAACCAAAAAGGTTTGAAGCTGGGGCGGCAGGCTTGGGCTCTTCCGCTTTGGGAGCGGAAGCACCAAACGCGAAAGTCGGCGCAGCAGCCGCCTTGGGAGCTGCCTCGTCCTTCTTGGGTGCCTCAAACGGCTTCGACTGGAACCCGGAGAAGCCGCCAAAGGGGGACTTGGAAGGGCGCTGTGAGTCGTTCTCCTTGTCGGACTCCGCGCCCTTGTCCTCTTCAGGAGCAGACCGCTTCTCGGCCTTGGGCTTCTCATCTTGCTTCGGGGCGCCGAACAAGTTGGATGCAGGAGCTGCAGGAGCTGTAGGCTTAGCACCGAAGATGGAGCTCGATCCGTTTGTGGACGCACCGAAGAGTCCGTTGCTAGGCGCAGGGTTGGCATTGAATTTGATCGGGGAGTTGGGGTTCCAGGTGGCGTTGACCGGGGCCGGAGCAGCCTCCTTGGCCGGCGCAAAAGCTGGTTTTTCAGGGGCCGGGGCCGGCTCAGCCGAGTCCGCGCGGAGAGGCTGTCCATTGTTGCCCTTAGTCACGCGGTCGAACAGACTCTTAGTCCCGGAGGGCGTAGTCTCCCGGGCGTCGGACGAAGTGCTGGAAGGAGCAGTCGCGGCGCCAGCAGAGAATAGAGGCTTCTTAGCACCAAAGAGGTTGGACGCTGGCTGGCCCAACGGCGTTTCGGCACCACCACTAGCGGCAACGCTGGGTTCCGCCTCGTCATCGGAATCAGTCTCACTCTCTGCGTCGGCCTCCACACCGCTGTTCTTTGCCGAACTAGCATCAGACAGGTAGCCAAAGATGTTGGATGCCTGGGCAGGCTTGAGCTGTTTCTCGAAAACAGAGCGCGACAGGTCGTTGTTGGCGGGCTTGGGTGCCGCTCCGAAGAGGCTGCTGGGCTTGGCTTCCGCAGCCTTGGGGGCGGAGGCAGGGGCAGGTGCGGCCTTGGGCGTTGAAGAAGGGCCTTGGTTGTTGGCAATCTTTTCGAACATGCTCTTGGTAGCTGAGGGTGTCGAGGTAGACTTCTGCAACTTGCTGGGCTGGTTCTCATCCGACTCATCCTCAACAGTTGCCTTCCTCTTGTTCTTGACCGTAGCCGGCGTCGCCGGCTCTTCATCCTCTCTGTCCACAAGGCGCCTCTTGTTATTCTTATTGGGAGACGCGGACGAAAGGGCCGCGTCCTTGGGAGTCAGCTGGTCTTCAGCCTTGCGCTTGGAACGAGTAGTCTGCCTGGATGGGCTGGCATCCGCAACTTCCTCCTCGGGCTCAGGCAACCCATGTGCGGACCTCCACTTCTTTAAAACCTCCTCTGAGGGCTTGACGTTCTTGAACTCGTACAAGCCATATCTGAGCATAATCAAGCTCCGGCTCTTTTCGAATTCCTTTGCAAAGTTCATGATGTTGAGCTTCCAATCCTTCTTGGTGAAGATCTCGTTGGCGGCATATTTCAGGCGGCGAAGATCGAGAACGCAAAATAGCTGACGGCGCTGCAAGTCGTCGTACTCGGCCGGAACCAAGTGGCTGAGGTACTGGTCGGCGTACACGGTACCCTTAGCTTCGAGCTCAGGGGGGATATCTCGCGCGAGGACTTCGCCAGACAATTCGGGAGGCGGGGAAGGGATACGCATCTGGAAGAGATCGGCCGAGGTTGATTTGGCTGCCATGCCGCGAGGAGTCGCCTGGGCGATGTTCTCTCGATAGACCTTTTGAGAAGCCGGAGTCGCGCCGGGCGCGAAGACTTTCTTGGCGGTGCTCGCGGGCAAGCTCGGAGCGAAGGGGGTAGTGTTGGAGCTTGCGCTCAGAGTAGAGGAGCGGAAGAGGTTGCTCGCGGTGGAGATGGTGCTCGCGTTGAGGTTGCTCGATGGCATGGGGTCGCGATTCAAGACTCTCTGCGATGGAGCAGTCTTGGGGGTGCCGAGTCGCTTGTTCGGGTTCAGAGGCGAAGCTTGGTAGCTACGGTTCGCGAATTTGAGCGACGGACGGGGCCGCGGGGTGCTGTTTCTTTGGTCCATGATGATGTGCGACGACCAAAGAATCGATTTCTGGATTATAATTAGTCGTTGGTGATGAGGTTTGCGCCGGTCGACTCGGTCTCGGGGGGAGAGTCGCGTCTCGATTCACGCAGGATTCGCAGACAAAGCCAGGCGGGCAAGGAAAGGAAAGCAGGCGCAACTGCGAGAAGTAACTGCTAGAGGGTAGATGCGATTGGATTGAGAAAAACACTCAATGATGGCTGAAGCTTCGACTGCAACAAAACGCGATGGCGCAGCGATCAAGAAAGTGATGCTGAACAGCGCATCCAACACGCCTTTGATGGTAGTCTGGCTGGCAAAAGCACAGGAAGATTTTGGTGCTGGATGATTTTTGGTGTGGCTCGACCGGGCGACGGGTGACGGGGCCAGCTATTGGGAAAAAAACCAGGCCACACCTCAGTGCAGGGGGGCGCGAGCACGGTCGGGAAAGAGTGGGTCAGTTTTCTGCCGTTACTCAACCTCAGGCCAGCGTCACCGCCCTCAATTGGTCGCAAGTTGCGGATACCTAAAGTGCGAAGGAAGTGGCAGGTGCAACTGCGACAGAGACTGGGCGCTTCTGTTTGGTGGTCGGCGCTTGCAATTTTTCCTAGGGCGTTCCCCAGGACCCGGTCTTTCCTCAGGTCCCGCGTCACGATCCTCCAGCTTTCAACCAGTCGAACGAATGGAAGCTACGAGTAGCACTACGTACCTTCCCAGTAGTACCTTCTCAATGAACCTTAGGTAATTAACGTAGGTACGACGGAGCATTCGCTGGCCCAGGCGTTTTCCTCGAGTCTGCTGAGTCAGCTCACACCATGTGGCCCGTATCCAACCATACGAGACAGGTGTGCAGCTTGACTGCAACATACACCTTCGAATCTGCTGCACTCCTGACCCTTTTGCGTCTGCACCAAGAGACGTATGTCTGGCTGGTGCGACTGCGACACTGAAACCAGGGGAACACGGTTCCCCATATCGGACTGCAGCCTGGCTCACGAGACACTCACAAGTACCGAGACCCTGTAGCTTCTGCTTTGGTAAGCCAGCCTAAATCTAGCCATGTCTACTCGCTGGCACTCTTCAAGTCATGGGTATGCATATAAAGGGCATCGACTGGTCACCGCAGGCTTGTTCTCCATACGGTCAATAGTACCCAATCAACTATTGGCTAGATCCGGCTCACCACGGCCGGAGCCAGGAATGCACGTGAAGATGGCGGCGCCGGTGCTCCGACCCCTGATGGGCCTCCTGACTCGGGGCGGCAATACTCGGGGATTTCCACCATCTGAGGTCCAGCACCGTTGACGTTGCGGTCGAAGTCACGGAAACAATGATGATCTATGAAGCGCATCGGACGTCCGTTTAAAAAAAAAAAAAACTGACATTCGTAGAGTGCCAGCCTGTTTTTTTCGGGGGGCATATCCATAAGTTCAGTCCCGACGTCGAGAGATTCTTTCGTTCTTCAATGTCCCGCTACGATAGTCGGTCTCAGGCTATCACATGCTTTCCCCACGGCGTACACCATAATGAATAAACTGATAGATTAACACTACCGACTCTCTCGCAACTTTCCAAATGGATAACCCGTCAGCTTCACGGCAACGAATAACTGTCAAGGTGCTTATTGATTGATCATGGTCTCATTTCCTACGGCAACGCTACGTTTGGCGCGCATCCAGGTGCCAGCACTACTTGCCGGCCCAACTGGTAGGTTATGATACAGGGTATTACCAACAACGCAATATCCATTGCGACGCACATTTACAACTTGGCCTTGGACTGGGCCTTCTTCAGGATGGGCTCCATCCTGGTGGCCTTCATGACGTCGCCCTTGATCTTGAGCTTGCCGGACATGAAGAGCTTCTGGGCGTTAGCCTTGCCCTGGACGAGGTTGCCAAAGTCGGCGTCGGACAGAGACAGGGTGACTGAGTCGAGGTTAGTATTAACTGGCTGTATTGGAGAGGGAAGCACTCCACGCGCGGGTGACATACCGGTGGGCTTCTCGCCGGTGCCCTTGGCGACCGCGCCCTTCTCCTTGAGGTCAATGTGCCAGCTATCGGTCTCGCCGGCAGAGTTCTTCAGGGTGAAGGCGAAGATGGCGTTGCCCTGCTTGATGGCGTCCTTGCGGTCGGGCTCGCTGGAGCCGAGCGCATCGTTGATGGCGTCGAAGGCGGCCGAGGAAGGGAACTTGTCTAGAGGAAAGCAGCCAGAGTCAGTGCTGGGAACGATTGAGACCGAGACCGAGACATCCTGTTGGAGAGTCACGTACCGTTGGCGAGACCCATTGTGGTTATAGGATAGAGATACTTGGTGTAGAATGAGTCGAGATGGTATATATGATTGACAGTTGGATGTGATAGATCGCGAAAAGATTGCCGAAACGTGGGGGAAGGGACTCGGGATAGTTTAAGTAGTGAACAAAAAGGTGTCAACGGTAAGCCGTGCGTCGGAGGTTGGGGTCGTCGGACGGAGGAATAAAGAAACAGAGAGGAACGGAGGCGGAGTGATGGAAAGCTACTTGGCTAAGCGCACCGCAGCAATGACGCTCAGTCGTCGCATGTGAACCTCGGCGATTTAGCAGCACACGGCAGGGCGTCATGTGCCCGCGCGTGTCCTCACTGCTTGAGGTAGGTAAGGTAGCAACCTTAGGGAATTAGTGGGTCGTTCTTCCCCATGGTCCACCTAAGTTCCTAACCGTATTCCGTGTGGAAGGAACCTACCTGACCCCAGCCAGGTGCAGCCATATCCACCGCACCCCTGCACTTATCCTGCCTTCTTGGGGGATTCTTCTTCCACTCCCGCACGCTTCATGCCAGTTCCATTTCATGGGGGCCGACTGGCGCGCATTGGGCCGCTGGAAAAACGCACCGCGGTAGCGCCAACGGAGACTCGTGGATACTTCGTTTCGTCATTTACGGTTACTTCGACCTTTGAGGTAATCCGTACCTTACCTTGCTGGACTTTCCATGATGAGGGTGTCACGGATGGCAGATGGCCACAATCGAACGGAGCACAGGCGCTGCCACGACGGGACACACATCAAACGTAGCCACTCGTCCTTTACCACTCATCATCAACCTTGACAGTTGGGTTCTAGAATAGCCATCTTCGATACGGTTTCCGATTCACGAACTGCGACCAGAGTGCCCCAGCCACAGCGCCACAGAAGACCTTGCTTTCGTTCATTTTCAACCTGCAATGCCCACGCCCACACCCATGTTGCACTATCTACCTCGATTCCACAGCATGCTTCAAGTCTACCGGCGCTGGACAGTGACAACGATCCATGGGGGCGCCGATCCCATTACCTATTGCCATGGATCTGATTCCGGCCCTCGCCAACGACTGTCTTGAGCGCCTTGCCGGTTACATGCCAGCTACATGCCGCAGGGAACAATCCCCGTTCTTCGCTGTGCTCCAGCTAGCGTTCGTCATGTCTCGTAGAGACCGAGGCTCCAAAGGAAAACACGAGGGAAACAAGACTCGATCAAGTTCGATCAAAGGTCCAAAACAAGACGGCACATACATAACAATGCAAGACATCCCGACTCTATGGTTCATTTCTCCCCGAAACAAGCTTCAGACGACCTTACAACACCCGAATCGCTTTCCGCATTCGGACTCAATTCATGCTTTGCTTCCCTGATGGTTCGCCACGATCTCTGATTGCGACCTCTCTCGTTGATGGCCAGTCAGATGCTGCAGATCCCCAACATTCGTCCCAAGCTTCTCTTCAATCTGACAGCAGCCGAGGGAAGTCAAATTGGGGTAACACCCCAGAAGCCCTTGCTCCGGATTGGGGCAGCACCCACGAGAACGAGTCCGAGTGCGGTGAGCTGTCATGTAGTGTGCATGAGAACAAAAGCCCCAGGCACACATCAAGATCCAGGCACAGAAGGGGACCTCGGCTCGAAACCACCATCGAAAGAGGCTGAAAGACCTCGTACGGCACGGGTTGATCAACGTTTCGGGAGTTTGGCAGTTCGTCCGACCCCGGCTTTGAGTACTGTTTGTGCGGATATGCTACCAAGGTGCTGCGTCGAAACGTGCCTCCTCCGCCCATTGGTGCCACAACATGCGAACCCCTGTCTGAACTCCAGGAAGAGCCGTCAATACTATTACCTCCCGATGCAGATACGTTGGCTAAACCGCATTTGCCATTAATGTTCAAGTCAAAGCCACGCTAGCGGCCGAACATACTACAGCTGACAAGGCCGCGGCGAATCATCCTCAACATCCCGTTGACTTGTCCAACATCTTTCTCCGCAACGTGTATGTTGACCTGACATGTTCGCAACGGTTGCCGAGTCCACCAGTTGGATCGGAACGCACTGCGAAGTCCACTTGGATGAACAAGACGATTGATGTGGGGAGAGACGCACTGTCAAGCCGTCCTCCTGTTAAATCTTGTCTGCTTGATGAGTGACCTCGAGCTGCAGCGGACGATGTGCGCCCAGCAAAAACCTGCTCTACTAAGTCGTCTGACCTGCGATCGTATATATTGTCCCCGATATCTCAATGGCAAGTCGATGAGCATTGGACATATCGTGGCCATCATTTATTGACACTTATCACAGTCCTTTTCTACGTCCACTTTAGGCGCAGTTGAGTTCCCACATACGCAAGAACTTTTGCCGCTGGGCATCTTTCCTTGGATCTTGAATTCCAAATCTACATCCCCCAATATTTACACGAAGTCTCAATTATACCACAAGACGCCACTCAGCCTTCCCTAGGCTTTCAAGCTGCCGTATCCCGAAGATACGCGGCAAGGACGCCTCCCCATCCACCAGTGTTATCGCTCGCAAACACCTCCCAGATGACGCCCCCAGTCTTGTCGTACAGCAGCGCGGTGGTGCTCTTGGTGCTCAGGCCGAACCAGTACGTCGACTTGGCGCCGTCAGCGTAAGCCTGGTTGGTCATGCAGTTGCCGCCCGTGTTCTCGCACTGCGCGTTCTGCCACTGGTTGTCGTTCATCTTGTTGAAGAACACCCACAGCGCGGAGCCGTGGATCACCACCTTGGAGCTGCCCGTCATGTAGTGGCCCCACGATCGGTAGCATCGGTCGTTGTTGCCTTGTCCCTGGGCTGCGCAGTTGCTGAAATCCGGGTCACCGAAAGCTGGTTTTACGCTGTGGCCGAAGAGAATTAGCCATCCAGAGTATTGACACATTTCGGACCAAGAGCATGAAGCCATGGATTGTGGCGGGGGTTGACTTACGACCACGGGCTGGGTGCTCTCTGGGGAGTCCCCTCACCCTGCCAATACGCAGACTCCGTCTGCTCCAAGCTGATGTACACATTCTGCGCGTTGTGGAGGTTATACTGATACAAGACGCAGTGCTCGAAGCTCGTTCCCACCAGCCACGTGGGCTTGGTGCTCTCGATGAGCGCGCCCCTGCCGACGGCAATGTTCTGCGCGGCGCCGCCGTCGAGCGAGTGGTCCGCCACCCAGCCCCACACGTTCTCGAGGTACGCACTCGCCGTGGAGGTGACGTGCATGAGCGCAAAGGCGGCCTTGCACGCGCCCGGGTCCGCGCCGCCGCAGTTCGTGTTGGTGAGCGAGTGCTCCGTGCCGCCGACGCGGAAGACGCTGCTCCAGATACCGACGTCGCCGGGCCGCGCGCCGGCCATGTTGATCTGGACTAGGGTCGCGCCCTGGAGGACGTCGGCTACCTCGACCGTGATGTCGGTGATTTGGGCGACGCCCGTCTCGCCGGGGTTGCCGACCCTGAGGATGGGCTGAGGGTCGTCCGGGTTCCAAAACTTTGATCCGATGCCTATTCTCAAGTCAGTAACCGGTTTCACGGGACTCTAGTGGTTCAGACATGACCTACCGTTGATGATGCTGAGCGTCTCACCGACCAGTCTTGTTCCGGGGGGCACATAGATCGTCTCCTCGGTGCGGTAGATGCCCTGCGGCACAAAGATGATCTTGCACCCCTTGTATTTTTGCAAGATGGCGTTGATGCTCGGCCCGTCATTGTGACTGTTGTCACCGTACACGGGGTACTGCGCATCGCCCTTCAAACTCACAAACTGATCCAGCGCATACTTCTCATACTGCGGCAGCGGCGCGGTAAAGTACTTATCCCCGGAAACCAGCGCGGCGGGCCGGTCAATGGGGTACACGGTTCCCTTTTGCAGGTTATTCGAGTTGACGTACCCCATGACCCACGTCTGCCCGGCCGTCACAGAGTCCTTGCGTAGCGTCGATCCATCGCTCGCAGACTTGACGGCCGCGGTGCTCTCGCCGCCAACCTGGAAGTTGTCGAGGACCAGAGAA